AGAGCCAGCACAGTCACAAATAAATAAATATTTTTAAAAAGACTATGGCAGAGAACTGTCTCAATATTGGTCATAGTTTGGCACATTAATTAAAGAACCTTCACATCATGATACTGAATTTATAAAAGAAAAGAGAATGGAGTTTTTAAACCCCATTTTATGACAGGGAATATCCAGGCACCAAGACAACAGTGTTCAAAACAACTGCATAGAAAAATATTCACAGCATAGGATCCTAAAATTGCCCTTTGGATTTACTATGAAAAATGGCATATGGGGCCTGACTTCAAAGGCTGACAGAGAACAGATGCATCAAAGTCTGGGTTATATTACACTAATCTCTTAAGGGTCTTTTATCTAATCTCTTCCTGGCCATTGCTAAGTGCCAGGGATCTGACTGCCACTATATAAATATCAGAGATTATCTAAACTTCTCAGGAGAAATCCATCTAATAGACATCAAAACCAGTCTAGGCACCGTGGGCCCTTAGTCTATCTTTGGCAGAAACAGAGAAAGGCAAATCAAATCTTTGCTTAGCAAGGACTTCATAATTTACCAACTTCTAAGTATTTTCATTTTACCTTCCTGCACCTCTAAAAGCACTTTTGGACATTAGATCCTCTAAAAGCAAATTCTCTACTCTAAACTAAGTAGAGAATACTTAAGTTTATTAACATCCTGAGTAAAAGAGTCATGCAAATTAAACCCTACCTATAGGCCTGGTCACAAGGGAAAAAAATTAACAGAATTGAGCTGATTAGATTTTTCTTGCATCAGATCTCATTTTATATACTCTTACTCAAGCTATCACCATCAAAGTAATGAAGCTCTCTACACTCTTCAGCTCACTGAATCCTCTTGCAACTCCCCACGGTTAATACTATTAACCTTATTTTACAGACAAGGAAAGTGAAGCTCAAACAGGTAAACCAATTCACCAAATCTCATAGTTGGTAAAAGGTAGAGCAGAGAGTTAATTCTTGATTATCCAACTCTAAAGCCAGTGTTTAACCATATGTTACAGAAATCCCATGCCTCCGTACTTGTGGAAAAATAAATCACTGTCAGACTTCAATCATGATTGAGAGCTGCACCCCACTTTAGAGATGACAAAGAACCTCCATGGCCTGATCATAGGGGCACTGAGTACAGTATTAATGTGCATACAAAGCCTATTTCTCTTGGTCTCTTCCTGGGAAATTCAGAAAATGGTACACTTCAAATATTTTCCAAATAGCCTCTTAGCTGTTGTTCCCACTTCACCCAAGGAGGGAGTCGGGAGGAGGTCCACAGAGGTAAGAGAAAGATACATTCAATGAGTAAAATTCTTTGCAGTATCTATTTTTCAAAGCACTTCTACATTCATGAGCCAACCTAAAGCCACCTACCCTGTGTGTGTGGGTGGGGATGGCACGGCAGCATCATTCCCCTTTGAGGGGCCAAGAGATGTAGGCTCCGGACTCCTAAATGAAGTCCCAGAGTTATTTAGCACGTGACCAGAACCCAGGTCTTCTAAATCGCATCTCATCCACCAGCCCCTTTTTGGGGGTCTGACCCACACCACAGGGGCTCAGAGGGCCCTCTACCTTACCGCAGGTGTGCCTGGCATCAGGTGGTCCCTGAAGGTGAAGATGTGAGCCCACTGTCCATGACCACCATCCCCCCTCGGGATCTGCCAGTGACTCTAAAGACACAAAGTGCTGGAACACCACCATGTTCTCTTATCTTACCTACCTACGGAAAAAAAAAACCCAAAGGGGACAAGCATTAAGTGAGCAATTTTAAAAGTGAAAAATCATCAAAGCCAATGAGACAAGGATCTGAACTGTAGACTTAACTGAGACATTCTTTCTAACACTTGGTCATAACAGGACCATCTCCTTGATAACAACTTATTATGAAATCAGAACTCTAGTTACTGACTTTCTTGGCCCCTCCCACACAGCACAAGTACCTGGGGGAGAAATGTCTTCATCCAGGATCATGCTTGCCTATGCAGGGCGCACAGTTCATGAACCTCATACTCACCTTGAGAAAAACAGTCTGCTGTAAAACCAAATATATTTCAAAGCATCAGTCTTAACAATGCTTTAAAAATCTACCAAATACCAAATCAAGTGCACAGATTAAAATCAGTTTAAGGATACAATAGGATGGCATGGCCACATGGAAAAAAAAAGAGGAGCCAAGGAAGAGCAACAAATATTTCCAAATGGTTTTGACTTAAAGACACAGAGCATCTTATAATGATCCTTCATTAGAAAGCAGCAACATGGTCTAAAACAGGACAGCCTTTTGACTCAGGATTTTTGGAATTACATTTGTGGTGGTCCAATGGTCCCTAAGAGGCTATGCAACATAAGCCATCTCCTTTTTAACATTTAAGTCCTTCTGATTTTGTATTTCCTCCAACGTTCCCTAAAAAAAGTTGAGAAGAACCCTAAGATCAAAACTAAAAAAAAAATTTTTTTAATTTCATTTCTCTGAAATAAGCAAATAAAGACAAATGACTGATTTTGATTTTTTGTTGCTTCAGGGGAAAGTCAAAGAGGAGTACCCAGGCAGAGAAGCCCAAGTAACTAACTGTTGAGAAAGGTGGGAGCAGCCTGTTCTCTGGTTTCTCCACCCCTAGCTCACCCCACCGCCACCCCCACAGACACCTTATCACCTTTCAACATCCAGCTCATAGACAGACCGCCCCTACAGTCTTCTCTGTCCCCGCCCCTACTTTAAGCTTGGCCATCCTGCACTGCCCAACGACAGTCCCATCCCAGACAGTGACTGTCTGAGCACAAGGCCCCCATCTGTGTCTTAGACATCTTGGCACCCTGGCTCCTGGCCCGGAGCCAGACATGCAGCAGGAACTCAGGAAAAGTGACCAGATTTGCGAAGACGCTGGACGACTGCTCTGCGGACGTGGTTCCTCCTTTGCACAGAGCACTGCTGGACATCTCCGACCCAAGTGGACTCACACGTCCAGGCAGGGTCAGCTGCAGCCCCGGGGGAGCTGGGGCACATCGTGGAACTGACTGAATATTGCTGGGAATTCTTGGGTTTTATTTTAAGAATTCAAATGTCATTTGCATGCTCCTTCATAAGGGATCTAGTTTTGTTCTGATTTAAAAATATTTTAAAGTTACTTATTATTTTCCCCAAAATATATTTCAGTAAACTGGCTGTTCCATCATGGTATGTGCGTCTTTATCCTCCAGCTGTGGGTACCCCCACAGGGTGCATATTTAGCATCCACCATTATAATAACGGGTCCCTCCCAGCTTTTTCCCCTTTACCCTTTTTAAGGCTGCCTCATCCTGCCGGGGTGATGTTCCTGCTCTGGGAAGCTCAGAGATAAGGCATGTCACTGGCACAGTTAAAATTAGTCGTTTCCATGGCCTCAGTTTAGTTGGGTTTAGGAGACACAGGGCGCCAAGGAATTCACAACAGAATTGCTGTTAACCTTGTATGGGCTGTTCCTGTAATAAAATCAACACGATGCTGTTTCTCCAGGGATAAATTCCACCCTCACCATCCTGACACTGACCTAAGGCCACGGAGGGTCATTAGGAAGAAGGCACTTTTAAAGTGTGAAGTGAAAGAACTTCAGGCTTGAAGAGCTGTTTATCCAGACAAAGAATCTTTGGCCCGGGTAGGGGCAGGGGGTCAGCTGTCACATCCAGGACTCAGACCCAGAGCCCCCTTTCCCCTCACTGTGGGGCATGGGCTCCTGGCTCATTTCTAGACAGGGCTTCACAGGACAGTGGGCATCCATGTTGTGAAAGCGACCACACTCGGTCAAGGAGAATTCTAAACTTGTTGGCCCTGAAAACAGGCAGGGTAGCTGAGAGAGAAGATGAGGAGAGGAAGCAGAGATGGGGAACTAGCTAGCTCTCTGCTCTGGAAAAGGCAGTGTTTAGAAAAGTGAGATAAAGGTCTCTCCACTGACTTGGCATTACATGAAGACATCACTTCCCCCAAGACACAAGCTCTCAGCAAGACAGAGATAAAGTGAGTGAGGAGTAGATAAACTCAGTGGGAATCAAGTCTATCAGCAGTATCTCTGGAGGATGTCTGAGCTCAGGGAGTGACGGCTTCCTCGGGGGGAAACGGGCACCCACGCGTCTCGGTGACACTCCCAGCCCCCGGCAATGGCGATAAGCTGGCACTGAGGGCCTGGGGAGGTCCCACTCCCTTCTCTGGGGTACTGTGTGGGGTGTCTGTGTGGTGGGGAAGGTGCAAGGCTGCCCAGGAGAGCTCTAGGATGGCAACCACAGACAAGGGAGGGCCCCACTCTGCTCCCAGTCTCCACTGAACCCCCGTCAATCCACAGAGCCAAGGAGGCCAACAAAGTGAAATTTCAAAAATGATGACTGAGTGACACGGACAATGATAAGGCTGGAGGAAATTTAGGTGCAAAAGCTGATTATTACTCTGCATTAAAGACAGATTCTGTGAGCTAAGATTAAAAACGAATTCAAGGGAATATTCTCACAGTGACAGCAGCAGAAAACCAAGCTAATAAATGATCCCCATGGGAAGGATGTGAGATTTTGAAACTGTCCAGTATTTCTGTGCTAATCTAGGCTTATTTCTCCTTTACCATGAAATCTGAAACACCGCTGGAAATAATCATGATACACTGCAAGTAACTTTAAAGGGCCAGGCTATGTACTAATACTAACGGGAAGAAAACCACAAAAGACAAAGGCCCTTTGCTGGGGGAGACCAAGGCTGGGAATCCTTTTAGTCACTTTTAATCCACTCCTCCACACTGGCATATAAATGTGACTCGCTTCAGGGAAATGGTTTCATTCCATTAATAGTCTGACAAGCATGAGAAACACAGAATCTCACAGATAGATACGAGCATTGAGAATTACAGTTTAGTCCCAAAGCAACACACAGGGGGGACATCAGAGTCCACACGCATGCAGAGAAAGCCGTAGGGAGCTGCCTCACACATGGGAGCGGCAGAGTGTGGGACATGGATCCAACTGCTTACCCACTAAGGACACCAAGAACCAGGTTAAGGACGAAAAATGAGCCAAGGATGATGAGACTAACAAAATACACCCATGGCCATTCCCATCCTATCGCATCATTCACCTGTAAAATGCAAGGAGATTAGTTATCAGTTATGCATTTGCCAAAGAGCAGAGCCCCAGGAACTGCTGCTGGACCACTAGGGCCTTGAGGACTGGCGCTCCAGGGATGGGGTCCTGCCAAGGGCCTTCCAGTTTTGTTCTTTCAATAAGGGCAGCTTCTGCTGTGGAAATCCCCAAATGTGGCCTACTGAAAGTCATTTAGCTACTGTTTGGTACCAATTAATCTGCATCACATTTGGATCCAGACCAATAAAGCAATTATAGATGCATCTCCTTTTAGGACAAATGGGCAGGCGATGCCAATGATTTAAGTCCCAAGTGACAATGCTGATTAATCCCTGGTCAATAATTATCCTATAGCTTTCTTTCACGAAGGCTGGTGAGGTTCCAGGAAATATCTTGGTTTGGGAAGCTTCAGCAGAAAAGAAAGCATCTTGGAGGACACATAAAACGCTTGGCACCCACCCGGCGGCCCCCATCTAGCAAGCCTGTGTGGTCTTGGCAACTGTTCTCAGGACTCTGCTTTCAAGATGAAAGAGGTGTAGCTTACCCGCTCAATACACCAAGCACAAGATTTAGTACGAAAAATGACCCAAAGATGACGAGACTGACAAAATACACCCAGGGCAATTCAAATCCCATAGCATCATTCATCTGTAAGAAATAAGATGGTCTCATAGGAGTGGGTTAATAAGAGAATCTAATAAGGAGAGAGGGTTACATTAGAGACAGCATTCCATACATTTAATTAAACATTTACTTAGCTTCAAATCAGACAATAGTAGCCAATGCACATTCATTATATACTCCCAACACACACACACACACACACACACACACACCAGTCATCAAAACTTTCAGGGCAAATAATAGCAAACTCTGGCCACCGCTAGGGCAATCAGCTGGAATTTGGCTCTTTCTTAGAAGAAATTGCCTTGGTAAGCGATTTTCAGAGATCTTGATAGAAGACAAAACTAGTGTTTAGCTAGAAACTATTTTCTACTCTGCCCAAATTGTTGGTAGTATTCTTGCTTTCAAAATTTGTGATGGTGTTAAAGTCTTAGCTATAGAGACAAATTTGTAGCATTTGACTCTATAAATTCTTTTTAAAAAAAACCCTAAAATAGCAATTTTCCAGTTATTGGATTTTGGGTAGATTGAAGCCAATCTATCCCAGGAAACCTAACCCACTTTAAATCTGGATTATCTGCTATGTCAGTGCAAGCACAGCTAAACTAATGCAAAGAAGGAAAGTATTCAGAAGTCAACTAGCTGACATATTCAGGGGTGCTTTGGGGAATGAGACTTTTTTTTTCCTCAACTGCACCCATAGGAAGGACCCAACTCTTACCAGTAAGGAGAAATAAAAAAAGCCCTCATCTCTCAAATCTAGCTTGAACCTACATAACCTGCCCTGAGACAGGTGGCTCCAGCTGTGAGTTCTTTCAAAGGAACCTGGTGTCCCTACTTCTGTGCCAAGTGAAGCAGCAAAATCAGACGTGGCCCCCTGGACATACCTTCCCGGGGAGGTCTGCTCATGAGCAGTTTTTGTGCTGGAGCAAACAGGTGCTTCAGGGTTCACGGCTGGATGCAACTTTCTAACAGCACAGGTCAGTGTTAAATGGGGCAAACACTTCTCCAAGAAAGGAGGTGTGAAGCACCAGTAAGAGGACTGAATGAATGACCCCAGGCCTGACTCTGCTGGAATCCCCAGCTAATAGAACAGTATATGGTCTGGGCTGATTCATGGTTCTGGCTTTCCGAGGTCAAGCCCTCAGGCTGTTAAGCATGTGCTTTCTTTACATTAACTGCCACTAGGTTTTTAGCTTTATAGAATGAAACTCATGCATTTCACTGTTTGCCTCAAGCAAAAACCAAACAGAAAAAGAGAACATTAAAAAAAAAAATTACCTAACATCTGTTGCTGAAGTCTAGGGAGAGGGCATTAAAGCCCTTATGAAACACCTGCTTGGCCACATGAAAATTGATGTGCTTACTGGAACTGCTATCAGTCTGCACATCTTATATCGGCAATTAGAGTAATGAATGAGGCAGGGCCGTGGCTGCAATTGTTGATCTCATTAAGTTGGATAAACTAATTTCAGCAGGAAGGCCAAGGGTAATTCTTCCAAAGCAACTACACCACTAAACTTATTTAAATAACCTAGATGTGCAGGAGAAGAAACAGGCTGCCTGGCGCAGTAACCAGAGCCCAGCCTGGAGTCAGGGCCTTCCACAGACCCCTCTCTGGGCCTGCTTCCCCTCTGCTGGGGCAAGAGGGGTGCCCATGACCAGGGAGAGTGTGCTCTCACAGAGAGGAAGGGGGTGCATGTCCAGGGTCCCCACTAGGGGACCCTGCCCTCTCACACCTCAGCCAAGTGTGTTAGCCGTCAGCCGAGCATCTGCCCCGCCCATCCTCTTTCAGGCCTCAGCCCCATGTTCCAGAGGATGGTTCCGGGAACAGCTGTCTCCTCCAACTTGGGAGGGAACATTTTTTTTATTATTATTATTAAAGAAACTTCTGATTTCTTAGAAATAAGTGTTTTTGCTCAAATCAGAAATATCACCTAGAATAACCTAGAAAACCAAAGGCCACAGGAGACCCTAAATCTCCAGAGCGTGGGAAAGAGAAATAAAAATTAAGCTTTAAGAGCCAGTCTTTCTCCTGAAGAAACCTTCTCAACGCTGGTCTCTTTTCAGAGGCTAGTATTTCTTAGACTTTACCAATCGCATGGGACAAGTCAGAACTGGCAAGCCAGTCCCCAAAATACCCACACAAAAATAGAGACTCTGCTTGGGATTTTGTCTGCGTGTCCTTTGTCAGCAAGGGAGAAAGTGGCGTGAGCTCAATCGTTTCAATTTAGATTTTTAAAATATTTATGTCAAAGTCATCATGGCATGTCCCTGGTACTCAGGAAATAATAACCTAGTTTCAGTTTCCCCTCACTTCAAAGACTGAGATGCACATCCATGTCTCTGATTAATCTAAGGCTTTTTGTTTTTTCTATTGCAAAGACTACTAGAAACTTGATATATTGATTGTGGCTCCCCTGAGCCTAGAATCGGAGAAAGGAGCAGAAAGGCAAGCTGCTGGCTAACTAAAGAGGGAGTTCCCAGGTACCCTGAATGAAGAAGACTATCAACTTGGCCAAGGGAACCTCCTGTCTGAGTCTGACAGCCAGCACTGCCATAGGTGTGCTGCTCACTAAGAGAAGAGGTTGGCCACTAAGGCAAAAGGCCACAAATAATTGATATGGATAATTCTTTCCTGAAATCAACTCTAATATTTTAATTCATTTCCTACATTTAAAACCATTTCCTTGGAGTTGAAGAAAAAAATAATAGGATCATGTAGTGTTACTCCACATCTTGTGGACAACACAAAGTTAAAACCCAGAGTATTTGGGTGACCTACCCAAGGTCAGGCACCAAGCCTTCTCCAGTCTTAAGGCTTTTTCCTTGCACTACACCTTTATGCCTCTGGACAACAAACGTGTGGATCAGATGGCAGCTTAATTATGCTTACCGGAATTCACTTCAAAAAAAGAGCACTTAAAAAATGGTTTTGTATCAGAAGTTAACAATCCCATTCCCCACATATCCAAGGGGTCCTGTTCTACACATGTCTTTCTGCATACTGGGCCCACCTTCCCAAGAACCTACCACCACTTGCCAGGCACTCCTGGGGACTGAGGCATCCATGAACTTGGGAACACTGAACATACTCAACCGGACTCAAACTCATCCCTGGCAAAGACTTTGTCCACCATATACAAACACCTAAAGGAACTGAAAAATTTGCTTACAACCAATATTTAAAATCAAATCTCAGTTCTCTCTCAAGATGTTCCCTTTACACTCTGGCTGTGGAAAAAAATTAGGCGTTTTAAAAAGGCCCATCTACCCTGAGGCAATGGGATTGTGAACTTGAACAGTAGCCGTAGCTGGTGTCTGCTGAGCACCAGCTTTGGGCCAGGTGCTGTGCTGGGCAGGGAGGCGCTGCTCTGCGCACGGCTGTGGATCCCACTGACTGCGGCCCATAAAATAGGAAGAAGGCTGGGGCCTGGCTCCTGCCTATGTCTATGCAGAGGTAATAAATGTAATCAGTAAGTAATTAGAAGCAACCTGATATGTTTGAGAATAAGATCTCAATGAGCACTCTGGAAGACATCCCTAAGCTGCCCCCTAGTGTTCCAGAAGGGCTCACAAACCTCTGAGAATGGAGAAATGCCAAGGAAAGAGACGGGGGTTCTAGTCTAGACCAGGGGTCATGACATTATGACCTGTGGGCCAAACCAGCCTACCACCTGCTTTTGGATGGCCCGTGAGCTAAAAATGGCTTTTACATTTTTAAATTGTGGGAAAAAAAAATCTGGACTATCTCATGACACAGGAATGTTATACAAAATTCACATGTCAGTGTCTATAAATAAATACTGGAATGAAGCCACAGGTGTATATGTTGTCTGCAGCTGCTTCTAAGTGACATGGGCAGAGCTGAGCAGCTGCGACATAGACATTATGGTCTTCCCGGCCACATATATTTACTGTCTGGCCCCTTATGAAAAAAAAAAAAAAAAGGTCTGTAGACCCTTGTTGTAAATCAAATACCACAACCATTTGCAGCAGGACTTTGAGGATGTCCAGGGGTCTATATTCCACTGTTTCCCAGACATTCTATAAAGGGATATAGACTGGCATAAGGATGATAAGTTACTGGAGTTCCTCCATCAGAATAAAGATGCCATGTAATTCATAGAGAATGTAATTATTATGTTGTCAAATTATTAGCCCTGTGACTGTCATATGAAAAATAGAGGTAATAATTATATCATCCTAGGTGATACTTAGAGGTTCTCAGGAAAGCAAGTAGAAACTTTTGTTTCTAGGTACATGGAGTCTTCTCTCCTTTAATCACACACTCCCAGAATTTTCACTAACTTGGCGATAGGAAGATCATAATGAGAGAATCAATGTGAAGAAACATAAAGTCTGCAACTGTCCATTAGTCAGGGCATGTCAGATCAGTAATGTCAATACACCATGAAAATAGGGAGAATAGAGCTGAGGAGTCACTGATTTTTTCATTTGTTTGTTTTAAATCAAAACATCTTCTGTACTGTTTTAGGGGGAAGGACCAGAATTTGGGCTATTTGAATGATGCTTTTTCTATCTATCAGAAAATTCAAAGGAAGACTGGGGATTGAGCCCTCCACTAATCTAACCAGGAGTGGCAACTTAAAACATAATACTGAAAATGAGCTCTTTACCTAATCAGAGGGTCCTCATGCATGGCCATGGGCTTGGCTCATCCTATATAATCTTCCTCTTTCTCTTCACAAAAAATTTGACAAAAGGCATTGTGTTATGGATATAAATAACAGATTGCACACATACACACACACTCGCACTCAGTCTCTCCTATGACAATTAGAAAAAGGAGGGGAAGGGGAAGAAATAAGATATGACATGCTGGCGATGTCTTAAAAACCTTATTACCAAACTAGACTAACACTTTGGGGATGAAAATAAAAATGTATTTTCTTTGCCTAACATTGAACATACAGACATTTCTACAACTCTGCAAGCATGGAATTCACTGGGGAAGGGAAGCAAAAACCTATTTACAACCATTATGTGTTCTGTTCTCTGAAGTTAATAGAGTAATGGAAAATCTTATAAAGTGTCTAAAATTTAGATCCTATCAGAAAATACTTCTCAACGTGCAGACTGTCTAACTGGAGACCGACCATTTAAAAAGTATGCTATTACTCATTACCTTTTAACAAATCATTATTGGAATCCTGGTTAATTCCATTTGGACCTGGGTTTATGCTCAAACTCTACAAGGCAGCTGTTGTTTCACAACAACTCTGTGCCATGGAAAAATAATTTCTAAACTTCTGTGAGTTTTTTCAAATTCTATCAAACACAGAAGTAAACAAATAAACTCAACTCTGAGAAATGACTGTTAAAATACAACTGCTCTTCATCTGTAGCAAACCCTACTGGCTCTATCGGGAACAAGAGAAGCTAGCCCTGAGCCATACAAAGGATGTCCATCTGTTTTCACGAACAGGTCCACCAGCCCTGGAAGGCTGATGTGCCATCTCTACCTTCTCTGCCAAAGTTCTCTACTACCAAAGAAAAAGGAAGAGATTGCTAAGGGCTGGTTTGTAGTAATACTGAAGATGCAAAAGGGAAACACTGTAATAAGGGAAAAACCCATTTGGGCTCTAAGGCTGTACTAAGCTGTGGAAAGCCTGAAAAGAATCCAATTAATTGATGGATTACCTTCTATTTAGGAACTGGTAGAGCAACCTGCCTCTAGGTATAAAAGATTAGTTTTAGTCTACGGAAGCCCACGGGCCTCTTACTCTGGGGAATGACCCTGGGCTCTTCAAGTGTTTAATCAGGACAGCCCTGGCCTTCTGGAGTTCCTCCAGCAAAGGGGACTACTGGGCTTGCTCAGCAGTAAGTCCCCGGGAGACACTGGGGATGCGAGGGTGTCCACGTCCTGTAGCACCTTTCTACAGCTGAAAGCAAGGCCCTGACGGGGAGATGTAACGGGTCTTGCTGAGTGAAAAGAGGGTCTGCTTCCCTTTCCAAAGAACTCACTTCCAGGGGGTCTGTTCCAGCCAGCTCCCCAATGGTTCCAGCTAATGAAACACTTTTATCCAGGGAAAGCACACTCCGTCAACTCCCTCCGCAAGCTGCTTACCCAGTAGAGCACGTCTGTCCAGCCCTCCATGGTGATGCACTGGAACACAGTGAGCATGGCAAAGGCAAAGTTGTCAAAGTTGGTGATGCCGCCATTGGGGCCAACCCAGCCACTCCTACACTCCGTTCCATTGGCGGCGCACTGGCGTCCGTTCCCTGAGAACGCACACGGCGCTGGGTCCTCTTCAGCCACCACATCTGCCAACAGAGGAGGCAGGCTTCACACCCCGCGCAGGGACGACCCTCAGAAACCCGTGCCGCGGGGGCCGAGAGCTTACCCCCCCTCCTCACTCTCACAGCACCTCTCCTCAGCCTATATGGACCAACAGTGTTTTTAAAAATATTACACTTTACTTATTTGGCTGCGCCAGGTCTTAGAGCGGCACATGGGATCTAGGTCCCTGACCAAGGATCAAATCTGGGACCCCTGCATTGGGAGTGCGGAGTCCCCCAGACCAGGGAAGTCCCAGAGAAACACTATTAATCCACCCCATAGCCTAGTTTCAGGGGGGCCCCCCATCTTGTTTGCCAGAGCACATTACACAGGAAATCAAGATAAAAAAAAAAACTAAATTCTCATTAATTCTAATTCACACTAAGAACTGGCTTAGATTTACCAATGTATTTGGCTTTCCATTTTCTTCCCCCTCCCTCTCTCTCATTTTGTTTTAGATTTTCCCCAAACCAGAAAAGTTGTTTTGGGGGAAAGTTAAATTTTTAAATAGTTTGGTGAGCAACCATTTTCATTACTCACCTGAGTCAGCAAAAAAACATGTTTTGTGCATTTTTCCAATAAAAAGCTCCAATCCTATAATAGCATAGATTATGATTACAAATAATACCAAAAGGGCTATGTGAAGGAGGGGAACCATGGCTTTTATAATGGAGTTCAGGACAACTTGTAAACCTAGGAAAGACAAAAACAAGTTTGTGAGCCAGCAAGATATTTCAGGGATGTATTTATATACTTCCTAATGATGCCTGTTCTGTATGGGGTACATGGTAACAAAATTCGAGGAGGTATTTCAGAACTTTGAATTAACATGAAACCTGGGTGTGAGAGAAGTTAAAAAGGATCCTCTCAAAGATCATCTAATCTAACTCCCTTAACTAGAAAGACGGGAAAACTGAGGCCTAGAGAGGGAATGGCTGGATATGAAAGTCACTCATTTCTGCATTTGTTCATCCACTCAACAAAATTCCTTGAACATCCGCCACGTGGCAAACATAAGGTGGAGTGTTTTGGGAACTATGAAGACGTGGTACACAGTGTGGTTCCTCCCAGAGGTTAGGTTCTAGTGAGAGACGTAAACATTGCACATGAGTTACTCTAAGGAAGCACACAGATGCTAGATGAGAAACATTAAACAGTGAAAACTAAAGGAGGGACGAAAGACATCACTTCTGAGTGCAAGGGGGAGAAAGAGGGCTGGGCAGGTGCCTCCCTCTCTGGAGCGCCTGAAGGCTGAGCAGGATGGATTTCCATAGGCAGGTGGGTCGCGGGCAGGGGAGAGAGGCTGCTCCAAGCAGGGGAAGAAAGCACCCAAGGCACAGAAGAGAGCGAGTGTCCTGTGGGCTGGGGATGGAGAGTCTTGGTTGGCAGTCATGCAGTAGAAAAGGATAGCAGGAAAGGCAAGGAGATTGCAGCTGCAATCTATTAGGTAGCTCTGGGTCCTGGATTCGGATTACAGGGCCAGACTTTAGTCCACTTTACGGGACTTTAGAGGCTTTTAGAGGCCAGACTTTAGAGGCTGTCAAAAGACAGCCTCTTTATTTATTCTAAACCAAACAAAAGGTTCATAACATGTATACATGGGAAAGAGCCAAGAAAACTCAAAAGGCAGCCTTTTTAGAAAGATAAAAAGTGAAAGTTGCTCAGTCGTGTCCAACTCTTTGCTATCCCGTGGACTACAGCCTGCCAGGCTCCTCTGTCCATGGAATTCTCCAGGCAAGAGTACTGCAGTTGGTTGCATTTTCTTCTCCAGGGGAATCTTCCCAACCCAGGGATGGAACTTGGGTCTCCTGCATTGCAGGCAGATTCTTTGCCATTTGAGCCACCAGGGAAGCCCCTTATAAAGACAAGTGGGGCTGCAAAAGGCAAAACAGGCAAAGAAGTAGCTGGAGGGTGCTGGGCTCTCCACAGAGGACAGGGCGAGAATCCAGAAGAGATCAGAACTCAGAAAGTGCATCTGAGTTAGAGGAAGGTGCCCAGGTTGGCAGGGTCATGAGGCTAACCCCAGGGCTTGAGCAAAAGGAGGCTCCCCTGGAGTGGGGGAGGTAAAAGAGGGTTAGAGGAAGGGGAGGGTGAGAACTGAACACCTGGTAAGTCTGATCACTTCACATGAAGGAGGCTGTGCCCTGTGGCTGAACCTCAGACCTTAGAGATGAGGGAGAGATGTGCAAACCTTGGAGCTACCCACACTTGGAGCAACACTGAGAGCCGTGGTACAGGAAGAGAAAAGACCAGGCCAAGAGGGACGGTGGGGCAATACTCAGGACCAGGTGGAAGGAAGCAGGAGCTGAAGGGAGAGTGGTCAGCAGGAAACCAGAGCCAACTAGATGCAGGCCCCCTGACAGCATGCACATGCCCTGCACAGTGAGACATGTGGCCAGCACTGAGACCCACCTCAGCTTCTCCACTGTAAACAGTCACACCTTCCCAGGCATTTTTAACAATTGCAGGTACTTAAGAAATCATTAGCCCACAGCTGCCAACCAGCACGGGAAACAGCATGACCCAGAGCCCCCAGTCCAACTTTCTCCTCCTTTTCTTCTTCTTTCCCTTCCTCTCCCTGCTACCTCTCTCTCCTCCAAAGTGCCTTTTTCTAGTATCTTCTCACAGTACCTTCCTGATACATACACAAAGAAAGAAAGAAGAGGCTGAGATGCTAGAATGAAATACATTAGAAATCAGAACACACCAAGCAAACAGAAAAATACTTATCAGCAGTAACAATAAAAGTTCACCTTGGATAAGAAGTGCACGGGAAGAGGTGGGGGACAGGATGGGGAGAGAAGAGTGATAAGAGGTTTTTAGACATACAAAGAACCTCTTTCCAGACTTTCATTAAGACAAAATCCCACATACTGCCTTCATATATTTAAATGTTCAAATGATGTCTTCTGAAGAAAACAATGATCAATAGGATGACTTGTAATGTTTTCATCTTCCATAAGGAATAGATGAAGAGAAAAAGAAACATATGCTCTAATCTACTTGGACAAGACGGGGTTTGTTTGTTTTTTCATTTGGTTTTTATTTTAAGATATGCAAGGGCCATCCAAAATCATCATCCAGCAGTTAGCTCTTCTCAACTGAATGGCCGTGAACCCTATGTTTCATAAATATGTTTATTGTAACTGTAATATTTCAGATGGGCCACATTTATGAAATAATGACATTATATCCTCAAGTGCATATGTACACTTTCATGGTATTAGGCTCTTTTGTAAATGACCAATATGTCCAGCAGATTTCACAGAGCTCTAACCAAGGAAGCCGTGAAATGGAGCATAAAGAACACGGAGCTAGGAACTAGCAGGCCAGGGGTCTGGTCCCGGCTGCCCACCCACTGGCCGTGAGAACCTGCCCAGGGTTTCTGTGAGCTTCCTCACCTAGAAGACAGTGCTCCTGGACCAGATGATCTTGAGGGTTCTTTCCTATATAACGCTCGAGGATTCTCATAGGTACCTATTACCTGAGAGTGGGTGGTGAAGAGCTCCACACACATCTGAAGGACTCTATTTGAAACACATATTTACCTTCCAATGAAGGAACTTATGTGCACATACACACACAAAATCAGTCTTGCAGGACACTCTGAGCTGTCTTCAGAAGGGATCAGACATCTCCGAGGTATGTGTAAACAGTCATACCTTCCCAGGCATTTTTAACAATTGCAGGTACTTAAGAAATCACTAGTCGACAGCTGCCAACCAGCATGGGAAAGAGCACGACCCAGAGACCCCAGTCCACCTCCTCAAAGCCCAGCGGGGTCTGCTGAGAGGCTTGCATGCTCCCCACAGGGCAGTTAATGAACACAGGCCGAGAAGTCCTCACGCATGACTCAGATCCACAAAGCCACAGCACCCGCGCGTCTGCTCACAACACAAATACCTCAGGCAGGCTGGCCTGTCATTTGCTCTTTGGGGGAAAAAAGTTGCCGTGGTTACTCTGAAATTAGATTAAGCTGTAACAACTGAATCTGAAACCTCATGTTTGCTCACTGAACTTCTCATTTAATCATGGCACACGTAACAGGGCCAGTCATTTTCAAGGTATGTCTATTTTTCTCAATTGCTTCCAGACGGTACTGTGGCTTTGACTTGTGCTGATCTTTTTCAATGAAAAATAAATGAACCATCTGGAAAAACAAGTACACACAAAACACCACTTCCTACATTTTAAAATGTTAAATTTGGAATTTTTTTTCCCAGAGAATTTTTGGTGCATTCTGAGTGCCAACAGGTTTAATACAAATTTATGAAGAACTTCTGAAGAAGCAAAAACATGATCTGTGCTCTTTTGGAGGTTTTATGAGCTGTGAAAAAAAGGCACACCCTGAAATCCCATAGCCATCCTGCAGCTGGAAGCAGGCAGTCACCTCACAGCCACAGTCCTTGGAGAGGCACTAAAGTGTCTGCCCTCAGAAGTCCCCAAGAGGGATGTCCTCTCATGGGCAGAGCCCAGGGAAGCACACGCCTTTCTCCTTATGCAAATTCCTGGCTGGGGCATGGATGGGGCATCTTTTCCATACTCAGGTGGCACTGGATCTGGCCTGGAGATCTGAAGCAAGAAGCAAACGAGGGCCTGGCACAGACAGGTATTGGAGACTAGCGGGTGACACAGCGTCTCTCACACTGAGCTACCCCCCTCCGGCTCCAGACCTTGTGCTGAAGGCTCTCTCTGCATTACTGCATTCAGACCTTACACCCACCTTCTGGCAGGTGCTACTGTGCCCTACACACAGGGAGGACCCAGAAGCATTCACTTCCTCCCTGCAGTGGGATGAGCCCCTCTGTGGGATACTTAAGTAGAAGTTTTAGGATTCCAGGCCCTTGCAGCTCACTTTGAGAAAAGGCAGTCAGTTGAGCCCTCTAACACCCCTGTCTATATAAGCCGCCATGTTCAGAGAGGCAGGCCTGAAAGTGGGAGGAAGTGATGGTGGTGATGGTGTCAGAGGCTGAAGACTAGACTGCAGTCAGGAGGTCTGAACTCATGGTCTCCTACCACCACTCACTTGGTCTCTGCCCAAGAGAATACGCTTTCTTCTACAAAATCAGGAAGACAATGATCACTACTGCCCCTACTCCACTCCCACTGGGGCTGTCATGGGGACCCAAAGTGACAACATAAGCAAGAGTACTTTGTACACAGTGAAGGCCTCCACGGTGTTGCCTGCAGAGACCCTGGCTGTAGAACAGCAACTCACCTCATCACGCCCTGCTTCATAATCCCGAGACCCACCCAGAAGAAAACCGATCCACAAAATCCTGGCTTTAGGAAACGAAAGGTGCTTACTGGGCACTCCTGATACTAGTCGAAGTGGTCGTAACACTCGAAAGGCGCGGAGGGCTTTGACGTCAAAGCCTCCTGATTTGCCACTGGAGTGGTTACCGCCTTCTGTTTCTTTGGTTAATTGTTCCAAAATTACACTAAACAATCTGAAAGAAGAAGAGAGGAAGAAATGTTAGAGTCTGTCACGCAGGGAAGCAAAACAGGATGGTGAGAGTAGCTATTTTTTAACAAAAGCTAATTCTGTAAGGCTGATGCTTAAGTGAAAGCAAGACAGAGGCAAGAACTGGGCTATGACCCCTGGCTAGGCTCCTACATCTAAAAGGACCAGAGATGGGACTGATCTCACCTGTTTTCCTGCCAATGGAGCATCCTAGCAAGATAGCCCCCTGGATCCCTGGTAAATCCCCTCTTCCAATGATGACAATGGAACTGCCCAAACAGCAGTAACGACAATAATCATAGTAGCTCCCATTCATGAGCGCTCACCATGTGCTAAGCACTTTACGTCAATTATCTTGTTAATCCTCAAAAATGTCATGCACTGGAGATCATGGACACTATATTACATGTAAGGAAGCAAACTTGGTGAGAACAAGTAACTTGCCCAAGGCCACACAACTAATGGCAAAACTAACATATGAATCCAGGTATGTTGGCCTCACTCAATGTAGGCTCCATGTGTTAAGTGGAAGTCACTTCAGTCACGTCCGACTCTACGACCCCATGGACTGCAGCCCACCAGGCTTCTCTGCCCATGGGACTCTCCAGGGAAGAATACTGGAGTGGGTTGCCATTTCCTTTTCCAGGGGATCTTCCCGACCCAGGCATCCAACCCAAGTCTCTTATGTTTCTTCCACCGGGAGGCAGGTTCTTTACCACAATGGCAGGGAACTGTCGTCTCTCTGTTCATTTAGTCTGTTTCAGCCCAGTGCCTAAAACAGTTCCTGACCACAGGAAGCACTCAAGAAATATATGATGAATAAATCAATGAGTGAATAACTCCAAACTCCCAAATCTTATTCAATATGTTATACCACTTCCAATACAGTCACTGAGACACACACAACCCCACCTCCATCCTCACAGGGATGTTCAGGGCATGCTGTAAATCACAGATGCCAAGGAGCTGAGCAAAAGCCAAATGCAGAAACCTAAGACAAGGTACTAATATCGTCATTTTCTCTTTTGAAATGTGAATAATATTGTATCTGGCAGCCACGACAAATTTTTTCCTATTCTCAGAAGGTTTTTCAAATAAAGCTATTTTCAGGCAATCCACTCACTTGACAGTTACTTTTGCTCTTTTAAATAAACATTTTTTTTTTCAAATAAACATTTGTTCTTTGGAATTGTTGCTTGTTTTTCAGAATAAATAGAAATTTGCCCCTTTCAAACAGAATCAACTCGGGCCAATCAGATTATGGAAATGATTGGCCCAGCAACAAAGAAAAGGTTTCCAACGTTTAATTAGCAGCTAAAGTAGAAACTCTGCCCCCACTGGCATGCCTCAGGATAGCCAAGACATTAAGTCCATAAAATACAGGGTGGTCTGATTACAGCCCTGATGGGGCAGAGCCATGGCATTCTGGGGTGTTTAAAGACGGGTCATTTGTTTTAATAACAGTACCATAATTAGCAGTGAACCTGAGGGGTGGGAGGCAGGGGAAGTGGAGCAGGAGTATGTCAGGTCTTTACCTTTGCAAAGCTACAGAAGGCAGGCTCTTTCTGGTTATGACTGGGAAATGTATCACATTTATGATAGGTCTCTCTCTCTCTCATTAGCACAGTTTTGTAATTACTGTAAACCTCCCCCCCCCACAGTCAAGGCTGAAGTTAAAAGTCTGCCCTCCCAAACAAGTTCACAGTGTCACAAAAACAAAGCCAAAGGAAGAAAGAAAACCTCAAGCTCTTCTGAAATGCAGCAGCCGCAGGAATTTTCATCCCAAAGGGTTAGGAAAATAATTTATGCAGGTGGTGACTTAAGATTGCTTTCAAGTATCAGTGTTTTGCAATGTACACATCATGGCACTTTTACCCCCTGTTCTTCAGTGATGCCCTTGAAAACAGGTGAACAATGCCTCCCCCGTCACTGAGGAGCCTGAATCAGACAGGCAAGCTGACTGCTGTTTCCAGGTGGCCAGAGGCCTCAGGGACCAGGCCTTGCTTCCATTCCTAAGAGTTAGGAGGCATTAGGAAAGTCTCTCTCCTTCTTGGGGACTTAGTTTATGTCTGTGTAAGCTGAGAAAACTGATTAAATGATACAGAACCCTGTCCTTCCCATTCTAATATTCTGTGAGATTATGCCTTCATTGTCCTCCCCTTCCACCCAACCAAACTAAGTACCATGTGCCTGAAGAGATGAGGACAAAAGGAGAAAGTATTTGATCCTCAATTGTTATTAAAAGTATATCTCCAGACAGAAGGAAAAGGCAAGGAACTACCCAAACTGAACACAAATTAGAAGTAAGGGAATGAGCCCCTCGTGTTCACAAAGCTTAACTGATGAGCTTGAACGCCTGAAATACATGTTTATTGGAAAATTTAGAGGAGTGGAATAAAAGTTGGCTCAGATCAAACTTTTCTATACAGAGAATTACATCAGCTCTGGTAGACATGTTGAACCTTCCTGTGGTCACATTATAACAGTTAACATTTTAGAAAATATCAATTACTTTCTTAACGTCTCTGTTATTGGGAATCTTGACAAAAGCAATAGGTCATGGTTGACTTGGAACGGAAAATCCATTGGATTAAGATAGAATCGGCAGTTGGAAACTTCAGTGAGTAGGAATTTGATTCAAGTAAAGACATAACAATTAAATTTTCCTTTTTCTTTTTAAACTTTTCTTCTGCTCTTTGACTATACTTTTGTACATATTTTAGATAAAGTGATGTTCTAAATGATCATCATATTTAATGAGAAAAAAAGATCAAGGCCAGTTTGACTTGAGTTTCTTAGATGATTTTTTTTTTTTTACTTTTTAAACCAACTTTACTGTGGTTTTACTTTATATAAAATAAAATGCAGCAATTTAATGAGTACAGTGAGACAGGCATGAGCCCAAGCAACAAATACTCAAACAGTTCTCTCATGCCTCTTTGCAGTCATCCTCAGCTCAGCCTCAGGTAGCCACTGACTTTATCAGTTTTATCACGTAGGGTTGTTTTCTTTTTATTTCCTTTTCTAGAATCTTACATGAATAGAGTCATCCAGCATGTTCTCCTTTTATCTTTTGTTCACCATAGTTTTGAGATCATCCAAGCTGCTGTGTTTTATTGTTGAGTGATACTCCACTATATGAACATACCACAATGAGTTTATCCTTTTACCTGCTGAAGAATATTTCGGTTATTATCAGTTTCTCTCTATTATGAAGTCTCTTTGTGAACATGTATTTTAACTTATTTTGGTTAAGTACTCAAGAACAGTACTGGTCATATGATCGCTGCATAGTTACCTTTGTAAGAAATTGGCAAACTTTTCCAAAGTGATAATACCATTTTCCATTTTTATAAGCGGTGTATAAGAGTTCCAGTTGCTCCGTATTTTGGTTAACATCTGGTCTTATCAATCTTTTTACTAATATTAGTGGGTATGTAATGCTATGTCACTGTTTTAATTGGCATTTCTCCAATTATCAATAACACTGAACATCTTTTCAGGTGCTTGTTGACCATTTACACATCTTCTTTTGTGAAGATCTGTTCAAATTTTTTGCCCATTTATGTACTGGGTCATATTTTTACCTTCCAGTTATAAGAATTCTTTATAAATTCTGAATACAAGTCCATGGTCATATATATGTAGTGGGAATATTATTTCCCAATCTGTGCCATATCTTCTTTTCTTCACAGTGTTTCTTTTGAACAGAAGTTTTAATTTTGATAAGGTTCAAAAATTCTATTATTTCTTTTATGGCAAATGCTTTTTTGGGTCCTAAGAAGTCCCAAAGCCCAAAGTCATAAAGATTTTGTCCCAAAAATATAGTTCTAGACTTTAAATATAGGTTTATGATTCATTTTAAGGCATTATTTGTACATGGTATGAGGTAAGACTGGAGAAAGTCATCTTTTTCACATGGACAGTTGTTCCAGCACTATTTGTTGAAAATTGTTGCCTTAATCTATTGAGTCATCATGACACCTCTATCTGAAATCAACTGATCACATCCATATGGGCTTATTTCTAAACTTTCTCTTTTGTTCCACTGATATTTATTTCTCTCCCTTATTCTAGTATCACACTGTCTTGACTACTGTGGCTTTATACAAAGTCTTAAAATCAGGTTCCACGTTTGTTCTTACAGATTTCCTTGGCTAGTCTAGAGCCTCTCTAATTTTCATATAAAATTTTGAATAAATTTGTCAGTTTCTACAATAATCTTACTGGGATTTAGATTAGATTCAATCTATATCACAATTTGGGAAGAACTGATATTCTAACAATATTGAATCCTCCAGTCCATGAATTGGAACATTGGGTCTCCCAGTTGATAACATGTATTTAGGTCTTTTTTAATTTCTCTTAGCAGGTTTGGTCATTGTCAGTGCACTATTTATCCCTTGATAGTCCATAGGTTTGATGACATAATAAATAATAATGTTGTTAACATTTCATTTTCAAATTGCTCATGACTAATATATAGAAATTTACATGTTTCTTCAGAAAAAGAGACTCCTATGTATAGAACAGACTTGTGGACTCTGGGAGAAGGCGAGGGTGGGATGTTTCAAGAGAACAGCATCGAAACACGTATATTATCTAGGGTGAAACAGATCACCAGCCCAGGTTGGGTGCATGAGACAAGTGCTCGGGCCTGGTGCACTGGGAAGACCCAGAGGGATTGGGTGGAGAGGGAGGTGGGAGGGGGGACCGGGATGGGGAATACATGTAAAAAAAATAAAAAAAATAAAATAAAAAAATAAATTTAAAAAAAAAAAAAAGAAATTTACATGTTTCTTTAAAACACTGCTAAATTCATTCAAAACATACTTTCATATTATTTTAATCTTCTTAAATTCACTGAGATTTGTTTCAGGACCCAGAATATGTCTTTCTCGCTGAATGTTCCACATGCACATGAAAAGAATGTATATTCTGCTCTTGATGGGCACAGTGCTCTGAAAAATCAATTTCCTCGAGTTGGTTGACGGTACTGTTCAGAAGTCCCTATATCCTTAAAGATTTTCTGGCTAGATGGTCTATCAACACTCCCAAGAGAGGAGTATTAAAGTGTACAGCTACAATTGAAGATTTGTCTATTCCCCTCTTTCATTTCCATCAGTTTGTGCTTCATGTATTTTGAAGATCTGTTATTAGGAACATAGATCATCACAGCATATAAGCCTAATAGCCAATCTACACACACATACACACATACCACACACACATTTAGGATTATTACATCTTCTTTATGAAGTGACTCCTTTATCATCATGAAATGTCTGCGTCCTTGATAACATTTCCTGTCCTGAAGTCTACTTTGTTGGTTATTAATAAAGCTTTCTTTTGATTGGTTTTTAATTTTGATTAGTTTTGCATGATATATAGTTTTCTGTCCATTTATTGTTGTGTTTAGTCACTCAGTCATGTCCGACTCTTTGTGACCCCCTGGATTGTAGCCTGCCAGCCTTCTCTGTCCACGGAATTTCCCCAGAAAGAATACTGGAGTGGGTTGCCATTTCCTTCATCAGGGGATCAAACTCATGTTTCCCGCATTGGCAAGCAGATTTTTTTTAACCACTGAGTCACCTGGGAAGCCTCTTCTCTCCTTTCACTTTCAAATTATTTGTCTTTGTAAATTAGGTTTCTTATAGACACTACCGAATTGAGTGTTTTTATACATATACAAAATCTGATAACCTCTGGATTTTAAATAAGGGTATAGCTGGGTTTAAAACTATCATCTTGTTATCTGCTCCACCAAACTTTTCTTTCCTGCTTATTGAAAAAAAATTAAATGAGCTTTTGAAGAATTCCCTTTAATCTCTATTACAGATTTATTAACTATACCTCTTTATTTTTCGAGTGTGTTTTCTAGATCCAGTGTCAGCACAAGTTTTCTGTGGAGTGCCAGAGAGCAACTATTTTAGGATTTGCAGGCCATAGGGTCTCTGTGACAACTAGTCAACTTTTCCATCCTAACACCAAATAGCCATAAACATGAGTGAATGTGACTGTCTTCCAATAAAACTTAATCTGTTAAAGCAGACAGCCAAATACTTTGTCAGTGTAGGAGGTGAAAAAGGCAGTAAATGTCTTTTCTGTCTATGAGCTGAAGCTTGCTGGCCTATGCTCTATGGTTTACCATATACTCTTTTAACTTCTCACTGTCTACCTTCAAATAATTCTACCAACTGTTAAAGCACTTTTCCATGCTATATGGATATTTCCTTGTTTCTGTCCTTCATGTTATTTTTTTTATTTTACTTTCATAGATGCTATAAACCCCACAATCCACTGCTGTTATTTTTGTTTTAAATAATCAATTGCTATAAAGAAACTTTAAAATGAGAAAAAATGTTTTCATATTTATACATGCATTTACCCTTTCTGGCATTCTTTTTTTTTCTTTTTTTTTTTTTAATTTCTTTTTTTCATATGGATTTGTATTTCTAATGTCCCTGTCTTCCATGTGAAGAAATTCCTTCATATTTCTTAAGGTGTAGGTCCCCTGGTGGTGACTTCTCAGCTGTGGCTTGTCTAAAAAATTTTCTTTCTTACTTCAAATTTTAATGTATCTTCACTGAATAAGCATTCTAGGTGGACCTTTTCCCCTAGAACTCTAAAAATTTCTATTGTCTTCTGGATTGCATAGTTGTTGACAAGAAGTCTACAATAACTTTTTCTCTACTTTTAAGATTTCTCTTTATCTTTGGTCTTGAGCAATTTGATTATGACCATGATATGACTTGAAGCAGCTTTCTTCATCTTTACTTTGGGCTTTGTTGACCTTCTTGGATTTGTGAGTCTATGTTTTTCATCACATTTAGAAAATTTGGACTATTTCTTCAAATATTTTTGTCTCCCCTCTATCTTCTGGGACTCCAAGCATATGAATATTAGATTATATGATACTACCCCATAGGTCACCAAGGTGGTGTTCATTTATTTTCCATCATTATTTTTTGCTATCTCTTCAAATTCCTTGATCATTCTATTGGGTCTACTCTCCTGTTAGGTCAATCCAGGAAGTTTTTCTTTTCAGATATATTTTCCAGCTCTCAAAGCTCCATTTGGTTCTGTTTTACATTGCCCTATCTTTTCTTCCTGTAGTCATGTATTCAAATATAGAAACATATTTACAATAGTTTCTAAAGTCTTGTAAAGTAATTCTCCACTAACTCCATCCTGTCTTGTCATTTCTAGGTCTGCTTCTATTAATGGAATTTCCTGCTAGTTATGGATCACATTTCTTCACAAGTCTAGAAATATTTGACTGGATGCTGAACACTTTATCTGGATTTTGTTGTCTTCCTTTAAAGAGTGTTGAGTTTTGCTTTGGCAGGCATTTAAGTTACTTGCAAGTCAGTCTGCTCCTTTTCAGGGTTCTTTTCACATACTATTAACAAGGGTTTCAGGTAGTTTTTACTGTAGAACAGGAGTTGTCAAAATTGTTTTGTAAGGGGCCAGACAGTAAATATTTTAGGCTTTCTGGACCTAAACCACATAACTCAACTATGTAAACAAATGCTTGTGACTGTGTTACAATAAAACTTTATTTACAAAAGTTGGTAGCAGGTTGAATTTGGCCCACTGATCACAGTTTGCCAACACCTACTCTAGAGTTAGTTTAGCTGTACTATTAATGGCCCTTCTGGGGTTTCTACTGACAGTCCAGGGTGTTCAACAAGGTCTTTCCACTCTGGTTGGTTGTAACCTGAACAAATCCCAGACCTATATAAGCCCTAGTTATTAGTCAGCTATAGCCCCCAGCTCTTCCTTTTTCCCTAGTAGTATTCTTTACCCAGCCTTATGGGCTATCACCCCATGTAAGTGTAGCTTAGGCTTCAGCCAAAACTCAAGAGGACCCCAGGGCATATTCATGGACCTCTTTCTCCGAATAGGTCCCTCCCTGCTCCCATACCATGCCTCTCCAACTTTAGACATCTCAACCTTCCTAAACTCTTGACTCTGTCTCTGCAACTCAATGAGATCACCACACACTGCTTGATTCCCTGTCTTTGTGCTCTATGATAGTCTAAAAAGTGCCTCCAGATGGAAAGTTGATTGCAGGGTGGGACAAAAGAAATGGAGCTAAGATGAACAGTCCAGAGTCAGGAGAATTACAGCAAGATTATTCCAGAACCGAGAGGCCTGTAAGGCTCCTGCTTGCCATTCTTTGTTAGAATTCATCAAATACAGGAAGGCATGATACATATGTCAACTGTCTGTTCATTTTAGTTGCACTATCTCTGCCATAATGCCTTAGATTCCAATGTATAGGGTGGCTTTTAAAAAGTTAACATTTTTCTCCATAAGTCTAATCATACTGTTGGGCTACCAGTTTGGATCCCACTCTATCTTCCTAGATTTGAAAGAAGGGGCTCAAATTTTATCCCACTCTCCAAATATCCAGCACTATTAGTCTCCCATGAAAAAGTAAAGGATTCATGATAAAGAATAATCCAAAAGAAAAAAAATCACCTTGCTCAACTGCAAAAAGCATTTGAATGAAGTTATGGAGATGAAAACAGAAAGACCATTTAATAATTTCTCTCTATGGGAATAGATACCATTTTAGGAACACCCATTTTATAGCTAGGCAACTAAGACTGAGTAAAGGGATAGATCTTATTTTCCTATGTGGGTATTTGGTCCAAAGACCCAGCATTCCTCTGACACTGATTCATTTCTCTTTTGCTGGAAACATTTCCAGGTGTTGAAGGACCAGACTAACACAGGCCACTGTTTTTTAACATTCTCCTTTAACTGAAACTGTTGGTGTCTTCTTCCTGTGACAGGATGCGGGGATAATGTCTGCTTCTCTGCATTTTCTGGCTTATTTCACTTCATGCCGGATATCTGACATTTTTCAAGCACTTGTTTTGTTATTTGAAATGGGATAGTAGTGTGCCAAATCTTTTCCCCCAAGGCAGCAGAAAAAATTAATAGCTTTGCTCAAGGGATGTTAAATAGCAGAGTATCTCACTGCTATGAAGGATTTATTACTGCTTTATTTTGGTTTTTTAACTTAACAGGGTGTTAAGTATAAGAGCTCTACACGTTGGACTCAAATCACCAGCAGAGCTGGCCTATTTGTAGAGGCCCAAGGCCTTGTAAGAAGCAGCCTCTCACATCACTAGCTGAGCTTGAACTTCCTTCCTTAACACGTTCCTGAAAGAGGCAGTAACGCAATGAGAGAATTTCAAATTGGTCTCTGGCATCACCAGGCTTCAGAGAACTCCTGACAGGTTCTGGTTACAATCACCAGCATAAAGCATCAAGCCTGTGCCCTTAAAATACTGTTTCCTGTTACTCCCCACCTTCCATGTTCCAGAACATTTCCCCAAATAAAAGGGACTTACCCTACTATGACTATAACAAAATCCAGTAAATTCCATCCATTCCTAACATAAGCATTAGGATGCAGCAATAATCCATATGCTATAATCTTCAAAAATGTTTCGACTGTAAAAATAATCAGGAAGGCATATTCTACTTTTTCCTGTGAAGAGAAAAAAAAAAAATTGTGGGGTGGGGGAGAAGAAGAAAAAGAAATTAGAATCAGTGTCTCAGAAACATTAACACTTAACTCCAAGCCAAGTTTTATTATGAGAAATGGAACAATTAACACTGCACCTGGAGCAAGAAGGCACTTTAATTCTAACACTGAATGTCTCATAAGCAACCAAGTGGAAAACACTTCTCATCCTGGACTGCGCGGTTGCACTTTGCCACCTGCCTTGATGTCTGCATGGTGACCCCGCCTAGGACATACCCGCGTGTTTGTTATTTCTGCACATTTGCAAAACGCAGCGTGTTTTCCCCCTAAGCTTGCCCAATCAGGCCCCCAGGAAAGCCCACGGGTGCTACAAGGTGCAAAGCCCAAGGGTTCAGACCCTCGGGGGTCTGAACAGAATGTCCTTGGGAAGAAAGGAAGATGTGTCTGCTTTGACCCTCTCTTCCTCTTGGGTTTCCATCTTGACTTCTAGGTCAGGATCAGCTTTGTCGCTGAGCAGCAAGACGACCTCAGCAAGCCCCTCCTCTCCTCTGGACCTGCATTTCCTCGGCTGCACAGTAAGGGCGGGGGAGGAGGGGATTCAGGATGGCAAGCCCATGGCCATCTTACTGGTGTGCCGCCTCTCCCAGCTGACACTGCTGATGGGTAACCCTGCACATTCCCAGGAGGCCTGGCCTCAGTCCTGGAATGCTATTAACAGACTCAGCAACCACTACCCTCTGACTGCCACAGATCTCTGAGATGCCACCCTCATGCCATGGGGCTCTCAGAATCTTTCTGACTCTAACTCATGCAATTCCATGAATTGTAGAAAATGCATCCATCAGCAAGTCTCAAAATGTTGGCTCTTTCCTCTTTTACTAAGGTTTTCTTTGTATGGCTTGGGTTTCAAAAGAAATATGGACTGTTGAGATGTATGAGGTCAATTTTACAAGAGGTATGTGCTGGCAAAAAGCTACTTAAATAACAACTAAGTGAAAAATCCTAATTAAAACTCTTCCACATGGACTATAAAGTTCTCTGCTAGTATTAATTCTCTGTGAGATCTGAGGAAAGTTACCAATGCCTCAGGAAACTAGAAGTCATAGAATTCACATATTAAGATAGAGGGCAAATAAATTTGGCTCAGGAAATACTTAGTGAGCACCTCTTCTCCATGATGGGCGCCACTCCAGGAGCCAACATAAGACAAACGTCTCCACTGTGGTCCTGTCTTTGAAACGTTTAGTCTAGTGTGGGAGGTGAGGGTTTCAGACATGATACACAGAGGACATTGCAGGAGAGGGAACTGACAAAGAGCAGTTCTGCACCCTGATAAGCAGATCTGCCCTCTAATAAGGCCAAAGGGTTAGACCCTTTCTCCCCTGCTGAAACTGAAGCTCCAATACTTTGGTCACCTGATGCAAACAGCCAACTCATTAGAAAAGACATTGATGCTGGGAAAGACTGAAGGCAGAAGGAGAATGGGACGACAGAGGATGAGATGGTTGGATGACATCACCAGCTCAATGGACATGAGTTTCAGCAAGCTCCAGGAGACGGTGGAGGACAGGGAAGCCTGGCGTGCTGCAGTCCATGGAGTCGCGAAGAGTCAGACACGACTGAGCGACTGGACAGCAACAACCCTTGCAAGGGCTTGCTTTGCTCCACAGAGGCAGTGTTTTGTCTAGGCCGCCCTGGGCTCCAGCTGCCACCAGAGTGCTACCCCTCCATCACAGATGAGTCCCAGGTGGGACTTCATTGAGTTTTTCCACTGCATCCTTCCCGTTTACCAGCAGGGGAACTGTCCAACCCTGGAGGTACCCCAGCCTTTACCCCTGTTCTCTGCTCCCCACTGGTCATGCTGAAAAGCCAGCTCATCAGTTCTTCCCTCCAGGTCCGTGTCATTCCTCACATGCCCTCAAGAGCACCGCCTGATCCTCAGAACACCATCCGAGTGGACTAATAAATTCCTTTGTGGTGAAAGTTAGCCAGGGTCCATGTGTTTTCAATTTTAAAAGTCTTGCTCATCCCCAGCCTCCACACTCAGGCTTCCTCCAGATCTCCCAACAGGTCCTCTTTCAGTCTGGCTCATCCCATGTACCCCACACCACCCTTCACCAGGCTGCAAGAGCTTCTTGGACCATGACCTGCTCCCTCCACACAGCAGCCACACCCTCCAGGCTGGGGTGAGCAGCTGAAATCTCCCAGAGCAGCAGCATGCGTGCCCCCGTGTTCCCCAGGCAGACCTCCAAGGACGCTTCTGTTTACCCTCTGGAGTCCCATGAGCCTCGTGAGAGCAAGGGCTCATTTTCCCATTCACTGCCACATCCCCAGCTGGCGAGCTCCCACGGGGCATACACTCAGGCCACTGTGGCTATTCTGAAGAACAGCAACCGGCGTCACTGATGACTAGAGAGGAGAGATTTGGGAAGGCTTTGAGGAGGCAGTGACACTAACTTAGAAAGCTAAAAGGAAAAGATGTAACCAAAAGCAAAACTCTCCAAATAAACCAATCTGCTGCCCTCAGATTGGACCCTGGCCACCAAAGGTAGACCGTCACGATGTTTTTGAGTTAGAATTGTAAGGGAACAAGATAAGCAGGAACCAGCATGTCGATTTTACAATTATTCTTCCCTTTTTATCCTTTCTGCTTTATTTACTGGGCCAGACAGAAAAAAAAAGGCTTTTGCTCCCATCAATATTCAGAGCAGTAACATCCCTACGTCAACACAGCACTATACTTTAGAGCAGACAAACAAGACGGGGAACAGAGAGTACACCTACCAAATACAGCTTGTTTTCCCTCTGTAAGCTTTTACTTATAAGTGATTTTGCCACAATAATACAAGGGCTATTTGTGCAACTGAATTGTTTAGGGCTCTTTTATCCCTCTCTTATCCTCCCCTCTCTCCTTTTTGAAGACTTTTGGTTTCTCTTTCCAAAATCCTCTGCACATTACTTGATGGAATTGATTATATGAAATGTAACCTTGCTTTAATGCAGTTCTTTCCTACAGAGACTCTACCATGATGCCAGCTGAAGAATCACAGCCTGAAGAGCACGGCTGACCAGTCTGCCTAGAAGCCAGGTCATCCTGGCCCCCAATCCTGCTGTTCAAAAGGACTCTTAGGAAACAAATACCCTTCTACGTTAAGCAAATGCAGTGTTAAAGAAAAATCTTGCAAAACCACAATCCTTGGAAGGGGAGGTAATTTTCACAAGAGGATTGCCCATTTGAAAAAAAAAGAAGGCTGGGTTAGTGATTTGAAAGGAAGCCACCAAAAAAGGTCAGGTTCTTTACAAGATGGGGTGGGAACACGCACCTGGATGAAGGACAGTGAGATGTTGCAGAGAGAAGATACGCAGTCAGAGTCCAAGATGGAAGGGAGCACAAGGAAGCCACCACGGTAAGGACGAAGGAATGGAACAACTGGAGAGAGGCAAGTGAGAGCCCTCCAGAAATGAACATTAAACGAGGTGGCCCCTGGGCAGGGGCTGTATCTTAAAGCCCTACTCCAGGCCAAACAAGAAGGGTACATGATTCCTGTACCCCAGTCTCCCTGCATTTGCCAGGCATGCTCACCCAGCCACCAGCAGGAATCCACCTCACTAACAGGGGCTCCTGGATGAGCAGGGCCAGCCAAACCATCTTTTAAGAAACTAGAAAGCACCAAGTCTTCACCAGAGACCACTCTATTATGTGGATGAAAGTCCCCTATGAGACTCAAGTCACTAGAGAAATGAAAGCTGAACATCTAATTCTGGAACCTGATTTACCTTCTTTCAACAGTGAAGTTTCATCAAGCAGGAGAGGTTCTAAAGCAAGAGTCTCTAAATCAGTTAACCCCATACAGAGCCTTGAGAAACAGAAACTCAACTAGCAGGGAACAGTTGATGCCAGGATCCTTACCTGTACTTGGTGGTCAGCTGTCCTATTTAGAAGGATCCCTTCACTAGTGCTGTGATACAAACATTCATCCATCATGAATCTATCCATCCATTCATGCATCCCTGAGCACCTGTGTCTCCCTCAGAAAGTCTGGTCCCTACCCTCACAGAAGTCTCCACCTGCTGTCAAAAGATCAACAGAGGCTTCATGAGCCAGGTAAGGCTTATCTCTTTGCTTTGCTCATCACCCAAAAGGCTCAAGTCTTTGCAGAGGTCTCCTGGTGTACACCCTGGCAGTAAAAGACCTGAGTCTCCCCATTCCCACACACGTCCCTTCTGGGTCCTACCACCTGGGCTCCTCATAGGCAGAGATCATTTCTAACGGTCTTTGTAACCCCAGCATCCAGCACCATACCAGTCTCTGATGGCTCAGATAGTAAAGAATCTGCCTGCAATGCAGGAGACCCAGCTTTGACCTCTGAGTCAGGAAGATCTTCTGGAGAAGGAAATGGCAACCCACTTCAGTATTCTTGCCTGGAGAATTCCATGGACAGATGAGACTGGTGGGTTACAGTCCATGCAGTCACAAAGAATCGGAAATGACTGAGAAACTAACATTTTCACTTTCCAACACCATACAGGGCACACATAAAGTACTCATGGGTCCCAATAGGAGGTAGAAAAGGGAAAAAAAAAAAGACAAGGAATTAAGCAACAAGGCCAGACTGAAAGAGGGCTATAAAAACATGCGAACTTAGGATTCTAGCATATGTACCAAAAAGCAAAACAAACAGGGCAGGAATCTTTCTAAATTACCAAAAACCCTTCCTAGAACAAGCCGGGGCTCAATGGTCAGACTGCAGAGAACAGTTGATCCCAGCATCTCCCAGGCCCTCTCTTTCAATCCCACCTGGAGTCCCTGTGAACACCCTCACCTCCTACCCTTGTCCCTTCCAGCTGGCTCACTCCTCTCCTGCAGGAGCACCCACTCCAGGTCATGGGCCAACCTGCTCCCTCCCACTGTGCTCCCAGGTTCATGCGTTCCCTTCTCCACACTTCTGTCTATTCTGCTTCACCCACTTCGTGTGCCACCCCTACCTCCACGGGTGTCAACT